CCCCAAAACCCCAAAACCCCAAAACCCCAAAACCCCAAAACCCCAAAACCCCAAAACCCCTGTCCCTCACAATTTTTGAATTTATTAAAATTAGTTATATTTTGGTTTCACTTAATCAGTATCTATTTGTAATTTTTTCTTGAAATCTTCCATTTTCTTCTTCTTCTCTTCCTCAGTTTCATCAGAGGTGCGGCCGGCCGTGGAGGTCCTGATCTTGCTGGTATTCCCCTTGAGTTTCTCGAAGAAGCTCTTAGCATTTACCTTAGTTGAAGCCTTTGAGTCATCGCCAGACTTGGAAGGATCTCCAAAGATGTTATCAGGTACGTCTTCGCACAAACTCTCGTTCTTGGATAGTTCTTCGAGTCATTCCTCCCAACTTTCTCAGATGATTTCTTGATGGTCGATCTCTCCTGAGCCAATAAGGTTGCTTACAATTTTGTCATAGGGATCATTGATGCTGGGACATAGCTGCTGGATGAGCTTGGGAGAGTCAAACCCGCACGGGATGAAGATTCCTTCTTTATCATTGATCTCAGGCGGGTGCTCAAAGTCCTCTTCAGAGTAGATGAATCTCATGTAATCATTCAACACATTCATATTTGTTCCTTTCTTTGCTGAGGTGAAAATCAGCGTTGCTCCATATCTTAATGTGAACTCTCTAAGATTTTTCAAGATGAACTCAAATCTGGGGGAAAAGTATTTCATTGCTTCTCCAGTAGCGATTACTTCAGACTTTGTTCAGATCACAAGGAGGGGGACACCAAGATTGACGTTGAGAATACCTTCCTCGAGGTCCATTAAGTTCAATGCCTCTTTCATTTCTTCTTGGTTACCCTCTCCTTCTGGAGTTTCTTCCTCTTTTTCATCTTCGTATTTGCTCTTATCTGGGTTTACATAGAATTTAAACTGGTTTTCGATATCCTTCTTCATCTTGTTTTGCTTGGCAACAGGGAGCTGAAGGAAAAGCTTCTTATTAATCTCGAAGATGACGTCCGACCAGATTGATAATTGATCCAAGAACTGCCACGGCTTTGAGGAGTCTAATACTATTGCGAAGATAGTGTCTTCCAAAAAGCCAGGTTTGAAATTATCTATGAGGAAATCCTTCATCTCCGGGTCATTCAAGTACCACACATTGGTATTGCCAAGGTGATCGTAGTCGAAGGAGGAAAACAGGCGAGGTCCTTCATCATCTTGGCCCTTCTTATTTAATCTTAATAATATTTTTGGAAATGTAATCAATGATGGATTTATTTGCCACTGCTATTATCTCCGAACAGAACAAGGTGGGATTCTTTGGTCAGGTTCTGCATCGCCTCTGTGCTGAAGCAATCGCTCCATAGATTCTCCAGTTTCTGTTCCTTGTTGTCTTCCATTTTAATTAATATTTCATTTGTGGATTCTTTTTGGGGTTTTGGGGTTTTGGGGTTTTGGGGTTTTGGGGTTTTGGGG